GCCCCGCCCCGCGCCCAGCCCCGGCGCCTCACCTATGCACACGTTCTCGTCGTCCAGCTCGGCGGAGCCGTTGCGGTAGTAGCCCAGACGGCAGTGCTGGCAGTGCTGGCCTCGCGTGTTGTGCTTGCAGCTGACGCAGGTCACCACGTTTAGGAAGTCGATGTAGCTGCAGCGGTTGGAGTGGCCATAGCACTCACAGTCTGGGCCGGCCGAGCGTGAGAAACACCACGGGTCAGTGAGCCAAGGCAGACTGTGCCTTCCTGCCACCCCCTGCACCGTGTATTGGGGGAAACTGAGGCACGGGGCGAGGCCAGACCAGTCCCAGGACATGCAGGGAAGGTGCCACGGGCCTCCAACACTTCTGTACCATCTGGGAGGAGGCAGGCGTGCCACCTTTGAGCCGGAGCGGGGACCAGTGTAGGCCCAGCCCCCAAGTTCCCACCTGGCCCTGGGGACAGGAACCCTGGGAGGGCCAGTGGACGGCCCCTGCCTGGCGGGGTGCCAGGGTGACGTGCTCTCGGAAGGATGCCTGCGCGATGCCGGGGTGATGGGAGATGATTCATGCAGGGAGGATGGGTCAGGCGGCCAGTGTGAGCTCAGGAAGGACAGTGCCTGGGGTCACGGCGCTCACCACTGTACCCCCAGTGACTCAGTGAAGGACAGATGCATGCACGGGTGCTGGGCAGATGGAATGGGCCAGGAGCTTCCTCCACATGCTGCTTTGGAAGATGCTTGGAAGGAAAACGCCCACCTGCTGGACCTTTTATTATTAGCCTGAGCTGTTCTGCAAATTTGATTGGCACCAGAGGGCCTCCTCTTGCACAACCCTGAGAATGAATGCCATCTTAGGGTGTGTGCCCCGGGGAATCTCGTTTTGCCTCCTGATCGTCTTGGCCTGGCTTCCGACTCTTACTGCCCCGCACATGGCTCTGGCTCCACACCGAGGACAGGGATCTCTGTGCCGTCCTGCTGTCCCCTCCAGCCACCACCCCCCGTCCCGCCCCAGCTCCAGGGACTGGGCGAGTCCCGTGACTGCCAGGGAAGGCATCCTGAAGGCATTGGGGCTTCACTCCCTGCCCCCACAACGGCGGCCATCCCTTGGTGTCCCTCCTAAGGGCCTCAACATCTCCTTGAACAGGAAAGCCAATGTGGCTGCCCTTGAACAGGAAGGACGCTGGCCACCCTCCCAAAACGCCATCTGTGTATCTCTAGAGGACCCAACCTCCCTTTGTGATGGGAGAGGAAGGAATTGACGAGGCCTTGGTGGTCAAGGGCATGGGAGACCTTGGAGAAACGAGCCTCGGAGCTGTGCCCAGGAGGAGACAGCGGGCATGCCACACCTTGGGCCTCCTGGACCTGCCCCCTCACCTGTCCCTCCAGGAACAATGAGAAGGTGAGGCATCCAAGTGTCTCAAGGAGTAGTGGCAGTGACCCCTGTGTCCCAGCTCTTGCTTCAACCGAGACGAGCCCCCCTGAGCCACACCTCCCAGGGGGGCCAGGACAGGCTATTTCTGGTCGCTGCTCTGCCTGCCCCGGGCCTGCCCACTGTGCTTCTGACTCATACCTGCTCCCAGCTCCCTTGGGGAGGGAGAACTGAGGGAAGAGAGGCTCAGTTTCACCTTGACCCAGCTACTCCGGGAGGGTTTTCTGAGCCAGGCGTGGGTCCTCCGTCCTGCATCATTGCTTTCCAGTGGAGGTGAGGGTAGAGGTGCTGGAGGAGGGCTGGTCCGGCCCGGGGCCTTCCTCTTACCTTGGAACTCTTCAATGGGCACCACTTGAGCCGATTTGGGCTTGAGCTGGAAAGGTTTGGAGGCCGGGGCAGGGGCAGGGGCGGTGGTGGAGGTGCCCACAGCTTGGAGAGATGAGAAATAAACTCCTTTGTCGCCATGGTCCAGCTGCCCAGGGCGGGCTGTCCGGGCCCAGGGAAGACCCAACAAAGGCTTCCACCGTGCCCTGGGCATGCGGCCTTGTCACCTGCTCAGTTGTGAGGGGACACAGCACATCCAGGAGCATGCAGAAACAGCCCTGCCTTTGGTGCCCCTTCGGAGACCACTTACACACTCGGCTGGATTAATTCTCCCAAATTACTTCCCTAACCCCGGCATCCCCTGACAGCATGCAAGGTGCTTTGCTGAAACTGATTTTTTTTTTTTTTTTAAATGATTGCAGATATCGCTTTGCTCTCCCCTCTCCTCTCCAAACTCCCGTGAGCATCAAATCCAGAGCGTGGACCTGGCGTCCAAGGCTTTGGCTTCTCTCCTTCTGAAGCGCCACCCTCCCCCCGCTCCAGCCAAAGCGAGTCCTTTACTATTCACAGATTCCCTGCTTGCAGGTGTTGCGAGCCACAAGCAGACCGCGCCTGCCTTCCACGTCAGAACGCACCGCGGCCTGGCCCCACCTTTGCGAGTGAGCATGACAGTGTCCGGGCAGCAGAGTGGGCTCGGCGTCCCTCTGGGAGCCTGTGGTGCCCTAGCCGGTCCAGGGCAGGGGAGAGATGGTTCCAGGGGCTCCATCACCAGGGAGGATGCCCAACTCGAGACCCTCAGCAATTGTGGGTCCCACTCCAGAAGTGCCTGCCAGCAGAGGGCGCTGAGAGCCCCGCTCACCGCTCACGGGGGGCCCGAGGTGTGGGGCCGGGGCTGTTGTCCAAGCAGGCATTAGGACTAATGTCCAGGGAGCGGGTGAGCTGGGATGGAAACAACCTCCCTTCCTGGAGAGTCAGACAACGCCCTGTGTGCTTCCTGCGCATGTCCGTCTCTGGCTACGACGAGCCCACGCGTGTCTCCTCCCGCCGCCGTGGGAGACGGAGGCTCCGGGCTAGGTATCAGTACCTTGTACGATGCCTCCTGCCCTGCTCACTGCCACCCCACCACCAAGCATCTGCCCTAGCTGGTCCTGCACCTGGAATGCACTGTCTTCTTTCATCTGCCCATAGCTAGGCCCACGGCCTTGGTCTGACTGCCACCCAGCTCCTGCAGAAGTCCTGACTGACTCTGAGCTCCATCTCTGCCCCCCGGTGTCCTGTGGCTGACAGTGGCAGGACAGGGTTCCTGCTATCAGGGCAGAGTCTCCACTTGGCTCCAAAGCCCTTGGGGGGAGTGAAGGATTCATAGGAGTTGGGCCTGGTGATATCACACTGGGCATCTCTAAGAAGGTGAGAGTTGGGGTGGGGGCAGGTAGAGCTCCAAGCCCCCCCTAACTCCCATGGGCCCCCTCCCACCCCAGTCCCACCTGCTACCTCCACTAAAGAGGGAGGGGCCCGTGGTCTAAGGAGCTGACCGGGGTTGGGGGTGGGGGGTCTAATGCCCGTGCAGGCCCTCCCCCCATACCTTCTGCACTGGAGGGCGTCTGGGGCCAGGGGGAGCTCTCCCCAAGGGGGGCAGCGGTAGATGGCCTGATCCACTCTTGGGGGAAAGAAGAGAAGAAACTCAGTTATGTGACAAGGTGGGGCTGGGGGGTCCTGGAGACACACTGAGGCATCACACACCCTTAGCAGCAGCAGCACAGTAAGAAGCGGCTCTGTCTACACTGGCCAAATAGAACTGGGTCCAAATCTACCGAAGAGGCAGCATCTACTTTACTTTAGCCTGTGGAGGGCACACGTGGACTTGAAGCCAGATAAGGGGAGTGGGGAGAGCCGGAGAATCTGCATGCTTTGGGCTGTCCTTTCCTCGGTGGGACACCTGATTTATATGACTTTTCTACTCTCCCTGTGTTGTCCCCGTTCCTACTGAGGGTAGACTTGGATCCGGTCCTGTGTCTGGGCCCAGACCTCTCTGTGCTGAAGTCCCTGGCTAATGACTGTAAAGGGGGACATGTGTCATCCAATGTGTCCAGAAGGGTCCTTGAAGGCTTCCTGTCTAATACCAATGTGGGGACTGGAGCCCCTCCACCATCTGGCCTACCCCCCCAACCCACGGTTAGGACCCACTTTCACCAGGGACCCCAATGTGAGTCAGCCCCCAGTGCCACAGAGTCTATTTCCAAGACTGACGGGACACAGAGCAGGGGAAGCAGGCTGGGCTGATGAAGGCAAAGCACTGCTCTGTGCGCTGAATTTCAAAGGACAAACCCAGAGGGACAGGGGAGAAATCAGATTCTTTCCGCTTCTTAAAGGGATCACGCACGATGCCGGTTGGTGGGGAGAAAAAGAAAATCTACCAGCTAAAAAGTGCAGGAGACTTTCCAGCTGGGATCTGGGAGCCTTTGGACATCAAATTGACATTAATATGGTGCTCAATGAGGAGAAGAGGCTGCAGGACCCAAATTGGCAAGGGCTTAATTAGAGCCGCAATAAAACCCGCCCTGAAGCCTTTTTGCTTTGCAGCCTTTCTCCCACCACCCTCTGCGGGTGAGGATTAAGGGTCTTGAGCAGCTTTTCCTGCCCAGCAACCCCTGCCCTCCAGACAGCTTGACATTGGCAGGAGGGGGAAACATCTGGGCCAGAGGTTCACAGGCCCAGCTGGACTCTGGCCAAAGAGCTGAAGCACCTGTTGGGAGGCGTGTGGGGGAGACTCAGGACCTTTCTGGGGCTGGGATCTGGGGGCAAGAAAGACCCCTGGCTGGGCTCTCTGGGGCACGCTCAGGTGTGCGGGAAGAACATTCTTGAAATGACCTGTGTCGTGTGCCAAGGCCAGATGGAGACCCCGTCTGTTCCTTTGGAATCGGGGAGCTGCGCAAGCCGGGTCTTAAAGATGGCACCAGCTCACGGCCTCTGAGGCTGCGGGGCGGCAGCACTGGGCGGTGGAGCCCGGAAGCTAGTCTCGGAGTCAGTGAGCCCCGAGTTCGAATCCTGCCTGGGTGCCTTTGTAATCCTATTACCTTGAGCAGCTGCTTCTTTCTTTTTAAACAGCTTTATTGAAGTATAGTTTACACACCATGAAACACAGCTGTTCCTTCCTAAGCCTTAACACCCTCACCTGTGGGACCAGGTGCTAATGGCCCCATCCCTCGGAGCTGTGACTTCCCCAGGAGAAGTCCACAACCCTGCCAACTGGAGAATTGTCATTATTAGTGGGGGTCCAGGTACACGGGGCCCAGGGCACAAGCTTCCGTTGCTAAGAGGAGTGACGTGGGCTGCTCGGGTCGCTGGCTGTGGGAGCGCCCCTTCTCGCCACTTGAGTCCTGGAGACCTCAAAATTCAAGCCCACCTCGCCTTGGCTCACTGCCCTGGCCTTGGACTCTCCTTACCTTCCAGCTTGCCCCACACCACTTGCACCAAAGCAGAAGCATTCAGGGTTCCTCTGTGAGTGTGTTTGTGTATGTGTGTGTGTGTGTGTGTGTGTGTGAGAGAGAGAGAGAGAGAGAGAGAGAGAGAGATAGGGCATCAGGTCTCCCACCCAGACGGGCTGCTGTTTGCACGCAGACACGGCACCCACCATGGAGGGTTTTGCTCTCGTCTGTCCGTCACAGGCTCAGCACCAAGAAGCACAGGCCAAAGCTCGGGTGGCTGGGCCAGCTTCTGTCCTGGCATTCCCAGTGTGGACCCATCCTTCACCCCAAAGAGGATCCCTGGGCCAGGAGGCTCCCCTGAAATCCCTGAGGCTCCTGACTAGCCCCTGCCTCCTGCAAATGCCTCCGGTGGAGGAGGGAGGAGGGCAGAAATAAAAAGAGCTGGGGTTGGTCACCCTCCGGGTCCCCTGGAGGAGTTAAGCAAGATGGCCCAGGAACGAGGGGGACTTTTCCATGGCATGCACCCAGGCGTGGAGAGGGCTGAGCCCCACTCCAGGCCAAGGTGGGGAGAGACTGAGTGTGGATCCCTTTCCCAGCTGAAGGAGGGATTTCTGCCCATTGGAGACCTGGTCCGCCCCTCCCCGGGTCTGTGTGCAGAGAGAGGAAAGGTCATGGCTCCGCCCAAGGAGTGAGGAACCCCTGCCATCTCCTCTCTGCTGGGGCACACTGCTGAGGCACCCCTTCCCAGCTGGGACCAGGAAGAATTCCCTTGGACACATCCTCCTGGCACCCTCCGGGAAGAATGAGTCCTTTCAGACTCCCGGCATTTGCAGCGGGCAGGGACAGGTGAGCCCAGGGGGCCACCCAGCACCCCAGGCCTCGACTACACACCCATCCACCTTTGGAGGGGAATTAGAACCAGAGAGCAGGTGTTTCCAAGCCTGTCTGTCGCTGCAGACCCCTAAGAGTGGCTGCTCTGTCTGATGTGGGGCAGGATACGATGCTGGCCCTGGCCTGGCCCTGCCCCACACACCCAGCCCAGAAAAGCTCAGCAGTCCCTCTTCTAAACAGCCCGGGCCCAGAGGTGCCCTTCTGCCTTGCTGATCAGAGGGAGCTCACCTTCCTGGCTAACGCTGTGCTGTCTACTCGCAGGGATCAGCTGCTGAGGAGGACCTGGAAGCAGAGCAATGTGGGGGCGGGGGTGTGTGTGGGGGGGGTGGCAGGCCAGCTCCACCGGTCACTGAGGCAGGAGCTCCCCTGGGAGACAGGCTTTGGGTGAACTTCCTGTGGCCTCAGTGCCTCTGGGAACTTCCGCTTTCTTAGTTGCCCCGTCCTCTCGGCCATGCTGGTCTCAGGACCCTCCTGAGCAGTGTTTTGGGAGGCAGGGGGAGGAAGCATCGAGGGGCGTGAAGTGAGCCCCAGATCCCCTGGCTCGGGCCCAGTCACAGGTGGGCCCAGATGTCCTCGAGGCCCCTCAGCCCCACACTCTCGGCTCTAGGGTCTAATGTTCTCTAAGAGCCAAGCTCCAGCAGCAGGGCACATCACACACAGAGGCGGGGACGTGGTGGGAAGTGGGGAAGAGCAGGGCAGCTGGGCTGTCTCTGGGCACCCACCTGTGGGCTGTGGGGTGCTGGGGGCCTTGGGGGCCCGCCCAGTGGAAGTGGAGGGGGCGGGAGTGCTGGGGTCCCCTCTCATGGCCACAGTGGCCACAGGGGCTTTGGGGACGGGGTCTTTCCGGGGCCTGCCGACTCCTGGCAAGAGACGAGAAAGACAAGAGGGTGGGGAGTTGGCAGGTGTGGGGGCGGCGCAGGGAAGCCACTTCTGGCCTCACTGAGGGGGCCGGCATCCCCTCCCGGGTCCGCCTTCCTCTGGCACCGTCTCTGCCCCCGGGGGTCCCAGCAGGGAGCAGCCCACGGTGGGCTGTGGCCCCCCTCGAGCATTTCTGAAACGTGAGGTGACCGCCGGCTAGCCCTCTGACCCTGGCAAGTCCTCTCCTGCTCACTCTAAAAGCTGCTGGCAGACCCCACCTGGGGGGAGGGTGCGGGGTGGGGGCAGGTACCGGAAGCACCCTGCTTAGCTGGGGCCTGGCGCTGTGAACGCTGAGGACTCGTCAGCCTGCGGGGGGCGGGGGGGGGGGCCACGCCCAGCCTCCCTCCCACGGTCTGCTCCCTCTGAGCTGGCCTGCAGGCAGCAGGATCCCGGGCACCTGCCCCAGCCTCAGGGGCACACAGGTGCAGACTGCCCCGAGCCAGGCAAACCGCACAGTCGGGGGGACTTCTGCCCCTGGCCAGGAAAAAGGGACCCCCATTCTTGCCCCGGAGGGGAGGGAGGCATGGGGAGTTCACCCAGGGCTTGCAGGGGCCCTTTCCAAAGCAGCACTGACCAGGAAGCTGGAGGGGAGAAATGTGGGAGGTGTGGGCTGAGGGCCACAGCCCAGGGGACGGGAGGGAGTGGAGAGAGGTGACGAAGTGAATGGGGTGCGGTTGGAGCCGTGCACTGGGGGCCCCGGTGGCCTCCCCCGGGGGGTGGACCCGAGTACTTACTGCCAACAGCAGAGCCTGCAGCAGCACCTGGGGGGAGAGAAGGGGGGTCACAGGGCCTCCCCGCGGAGAGGGGGCGGTGACAGGGCTGGGGGAGGGACACCTGGAGCCAAGTGCCTGCGGGCTGACCCCGCTTATCCAGTTTCATCCTCAGGGCCGCCCTGAGAGGGAGGGGCCGCCTTAGCCCATTTTGCAGATGGAGAAACTGAGTCTCAGAGCCATGACTGACCCCAGGGGACCCGCTGGTAAGTGTCAGACACCCCACTGGGGGCTTCATATGCACCCTCGTCTTTGAGGTTAGACTCTCAGGCCCTCCCATGCAGGACAAGGAGGTGGGGGGCCCTTCTTCGGGGGGCACTGGGGTGCCGGAGGACAGGAGGGGCACCGCGACAGGGGCAGACGGGTTTCCTGGAGGCGCTGATGGAACTGGCCACCGGAGAGAAACCACAGTGTGTGCTCCCATCTGTGGAGAAGTGGATTTGGCCGAGTGACTCACTGAAACAGAAGTGTAGCCGCTCCCGCGTGCGGAGCGCTCACTGTGCCAGGCACATGCTAAGCGTGGCCCCCGTGTGGTCCGGTTAGTCCTTGCCAAACCCCACAGGGGCTCTCAGGGTCCTGATTCCACAGTTCGGGGAAACAGGGCTTGGGGTAAAATGACCTGCCCAGGGCCACACAGGTGTGAGTGGAGGCCTTTCTGTGTGTGTCGGTGCCCCGGGGGCTGAAGGAGGCCTAAGGTCAGGGGTTGACCCGGGAGTCTCAGGAAAGCAGGGTAAGAATCCTCAGGCCCGGAAGGAAGGGGCTGGTGCCAGCCACCCCCTGAAGAAGAACAGAGGGTGAGGACGCCCCTCGGTGCCCGAGGGGGGGTGTGGACAGCAGGCTACGTGGCACACAGACCGCCCCCGAGTGAGCCCAGGGGACGCCAGGGAGGCCCGGGACGATGGATGATCTCACAGGGCCTTGTGTGGGGGGCGGGGGTTGGACTGGGTTAGGATTTGACTCTGAGGGCCCCAGGCGGGGGCACCCTAGTGAGGAGAGAGCCCTTTGCCTGCAGCAGGGAGGAGGGGAGGACCGGGAGGACGGGAGGACGGACTAGCGGGGCCCGGGACGGGAGGGCCGCTCTTGCAGCAGTGAGGGAGGGGATGCGGAGACCGAGTGGGGGCAGTGGAGAGGAGCGGCAAGGAGGGGCTAGCGTCAAGGGAGACCCCCACACTTGCAGCTTGGCCCCCTGGGTATTGGTGCCATTACTGGGATGGGGACATGGTGGGGGCAAAATTAACCTGGAACTTGTTTCTGTCTGTGTCTTGGGGGCTGTTTTCTCCTGTTGTCCTAGAGAAGGGGGGTTCGTGTTAGGCTGAGGACACACAGCACCTCCAGCTTCATCTCTGCTCCGGGGGATTCCGGAGACTCCCCTCCTATCCGGGGTGGGGGACTCTGGAGAAGCAGGGACCAGCTCCAGGAGCTCCCCAGATGAAGGGGCTTCGCCTGCCCCTGTAGGACGGAGGGGAGAGGGTCCAGAGGCAAAGCCTGGTCTGTGCTCGCATGCGGGTATCTGCCCACGGCCGGCTGGACAGAGGGTGGGCACCGGGGGTGGGCACCACGGTGTGGGGCCTGCAGTTCAGAGCTGGTCTGTGAGTCTGCCAGTGTCAGGAGACTTGGGCAGATCCTCCCAGGAGGTGGGGCAGAGAGCGGGGAGGAGGAGGCCCGCAGGACAGATGAAGGGAGGCAGACTGCCAGTCAGAGAGGGAGGTGACAGCCACTAAAGAAAGGGCTCCAAGGATGGCTCCAACAAAGACATGGGTGGGGCACCTGGCGGGGAGGGAGCCGGGTGGGGCGGCTGTCAGCGCCCAGAGCTCTGGGTGCCTTTGAAGGCCCGGAGTGCCGGGAGCGCCTGGCAAGTCACCCCTTCAAAGGGCTGCCGCCCGGCACAGACACGACAGGCCTGTCATGGCCTCGCTGTGAGGCTTTCAGCTTTGATCAGCCTAAAGTCACATAAACCTTTCACATCAGTGGAGGGAGGGCGTTAGTGGAGGGGCTCCCGCGAGGGTGCCCAGGCGGGAGGGTGGTCCCAGGGCAGGGGGCCGCCGCCCCCTCTGGCTTTGGAACCAGGCCCAGGGTTGGCCCGTTGCCTGCTGCTGGACCGGGGCTGCTGGGCCTCAGTTTGCTCGTCTGGAGAGCGGGGGAATCCCAGTTCCACCCGTGGGGCAGCTGTGAGGGCTAAGGGAGAAGCGATGTATGAGTGCCTGGTGCAGCCTCTGTCAGAGAGCGGGACAAGTGTCGGACCTCAGTGGTGTCGCTAGGGGGCTGGCCAGGGCGAGTCCTCCCCAGGGGCCAGCCCCGGCGCCTCCCCACGGCAGCTCGGGGGCTCTCTGGGATTTGTGATTTCATGAAAACATCCATGGATTATGCTGGAGGCCCCTGATGAGTGGGCCCCCCCAAAGGGTGTTCACGAGGCAGGCACGCGTGGGCGCACCCCGAGGAGCACTCCCCTGGCACGGGAAGGCTGGGCGGGAAGAGGGGACGATGCAGAGAAAGGAGGCCAGGAGGCCGGAGGGGATCTCAGACCAGGGCCTCGAAGGACCCTTCTGTAAAGTGGATTAAAAGAGACCCCCTTCCAGGGGCGACCCTGAGGGTCAAGGGGGGCGGTGACCGCGCAGCACGCGGCGCCCGGGTGGCAGGCTGTAAACGCCCCGTAAGCGCTGGTTATGAGGGATGGTGCTGCTGGAGTCAGGGGTCTCCGCCACCCCCCTCCTGACACCCCGTGGTGCCTTCTCTCCAGCCTGCGGGGTCAAGCAGCGGAAGGACAGCAGGAAAGGTGCTGAGCAGCTCATCTCGGGTTTCCCTCGGCGCCCGGCGGGCGGGGGGCGGCTTAGGTGTTGCAGGAGGCAGGTGTGCCGAGTAACAGGGGCTGCGAGTGTGCCCGCTTGTATTTGTGCGCACGTTGGCACGCATGTCTGTGTGTGTGCGTGCTCGTGTGTGCATGTGACCCACAGCCCCCCGGGGTGGAGAGCAGGGGAGGCCGCAGCCTCGCTGGCCGGGGCCGGGGGGCGGGTACGTACACGCGTTGGGAGAGCCGTGGGGCAGTGGCAGGTAGGAGCCGGCGCGCCAGGACCGGGTGCGGAAGTTCCTCTTGCACTTGCCGCAGTCGGGGCCCGTGGTGTTGTGCTCACACTCACACTGCAGACTGCCCTCCCTCACGGAGCACAAGTTAGCGTGCAGGTTGCACTTGCACCTGGGGGGGGGGGCACAGAGGGCCAGAGAGGTCAGTGAACTCGTGGGCAGCTGGGCGCGGGACGGTGACCCTGGAGGCCTCCCGTCCAACCTGCTGGGACTCTCCTTTGGGACGAAACCTCCCTGATCAGCCTGCTCTTCAGAAAGCACCATTTCCACCCATTCCCAGGATAAAGCTGCCCCTGGAGCCCCTGCCACCCGTCTCCTCCCCTATCTGGTGGCACCTGCAGCGTTCTCCGACATCCCAGGACAGGGTGACAAGGTGACCTTGACCAGACGCTGTGTCCTAATCACCTTTGCTCTTGACCGAGACGGCTGACAGGCAGCAAGGGCTGCTCACCAGCCCTCCCTGTGTAGACCTGGCCCCGGCCCAGGGCCACCCCTCAGCTCTCAGCCTCGGCCCACACCCACACCCTTGAGGGCAGACGGAGAGAACCCCGACTCCCAAACCCCGTCGGTTCATCCACACATGTATTATTCATTCATTCATTCAAATATTTATAGGCAACTCATTATTCTGAAATCCGCTAAATAAAGGGAGAGAATCAAGCATGTCCTCTCTGTCCCGTGTAAACTGTACCTCTGAGTAACCAACTGTGGATGAGGGAATGTTTCTTTCTATAGAAGCATCCCAGCTAATAACCGAAGAGGGAAGGATTAGAAGGTCGCCATGTAGCAGCCCTCCCCTCGCCAGTGGCCCGAGGCTCTGAGCGGCAGCCGCCGGCCATCGTGCAGAGATGGCCGACCAGTGGAAGGACACACGGCACCCCAGCGTGGTCTCACCAAAACACACCGGACTTGAATCTGATCGAGCCTCCGCATCCGTCTACGAAATCCCAGGGAATACAGGGGCCAGAGACACACAGAACAACAGCAGCAGGACGCAGTCAGCCCCGTCCAGACGGAGGGGACCCCAGGGGTGACGAGCCAGCTCTCCACCAGCTGAAGGGCAGGGGGCAAAACCGATGGGGGGGGGACCCAGATCAAGAGAAGCCTCAAAGGCATCAACTAATTGCAGGGCGAGGACCTCATCTGGATCTTGAGTCAAACAACTTCTAAACTCAAACCAGTATTCATGAAACAATTGGAAATCCGAAGACTGACTGTATTTGACGATCTTAAATTAATGTTGACTAGATGTGGGGATGGTGGTGGGGTTACATCTTTTAAAGTCCTTCTACTTTCAAGATACACACTGAAGTATTTACAGATGAAATGAACTGGGGTCTGGGATTTGCTTCAAAATAACACGGAAAGGAAGAAGGTGGAGGGAGATGGGGATGAAACCAGAGAGACCACGAGTTGATAGCTGCCCAAGTTGGGGGACAGGTAAGTGGCAGTCCTCTGTTTGCATGCATGTTGGAAATCCTCCATAAGAAAAAGAAAGCAAGAGTGCTCTAGGTTCTGATACGGGAAGATTTCCAAGGTATACAGTCAAAATTTATAAAAAGCAACTTGCAGAATGACGCGTTTAGTAGAATCCTGTTTTTGTTAAAATATGCAAGAACTGTAGAGAGAGGGTACCTGTTACGGGCCAGGCTCCGGGCTGGGGAGCAGATCGTGGAATGGTCAACACAGCCGGTGGGGACCCTGCTCTGGCAGAGCATACAGTCTATCTAGTCGGGCAATGACTGAAACCAGTGATTGGGTTGAGTCCGTGGAGCACGGGGACATGTTAGGGCAGTGAAGCCATTCCGTGTGACACGGTCATGGTGGAGGCAGGACACTGTGCATTGGTCCAAACCCACAGAGCTGACAGCACTGAGGGGGATCCGTGATGTAACCCACGGGCTCTGGTTCACAGTAACACACCATTGCTCATCACCTGTAACGAATTTACCACGCTGGTGCAAAGAGTAATGACAGGGGGAGACGTGTACCCGGAGACCGGAGTATTGGCGACTCTCTCCACCAGGGGCTCCAGCCTCTCTAAGCCTAAAACTGCTCCAAAACATGACGTCTATTAATTTGACAACAGTCATCGTGCAAATCTTTAATTAATGGCAATTGTTATAGGTGCCCAAGCATCATATAGGAGAGGGAATCATGGGGGGGTCTTAACTTAGTCTTGGGGGAGCAGGATAGGCTTCCAGGAAGAACAGTTTTAAACTAAGGCCTGAAGGAGGATCAAGAGTTTGCCAGACAAGGAGGAGAGAACCTTCTGGAAAGAGGCAAGAACTGGAGGAAAGACCCTAGCCCCGCCCCTGGGGTCTGAGAGGAGCCCAGGGGGTGAGAGGAGGCCAGCCCAGGACACAGAAGCCGCTGGGAGATTGGAGGCTGTCTGCCCTGGGGCATCGTTTATATCCCTGGGACGGCTCCGTGCAGAATGCCCTGTCTGGGGCGCCAGAGCCAGGGAGGGGAGGTCAGGGAGAAAGCTGGGCGTCGGCTGGCAGCAGAGAACAGAGGCCTGGGCTCGGGTGGAGGCACGGAGGCTAGCCTGTGGTGTTCAGTTATGGCAGCCCCGGGCAGACTAATACATGCGTCTTCTGGTGACATTTAAAATACATGTATCCACACCCAAATCACCAAGAGAAAATGTATCTGGGTATTAGCGTGATTGTCCTAGGTCGGGAAGGGATGGGCTGATACATGGTTCTTATTTTCTTCTTTGTCACATTGCACATTTCCTACATTCTCTATCATGAGCAGGTATTACGTGTATAAGCGGATGACAAATGTTATTTTAAACTGGGTTGTCAGGCCAGGGCGGGGAGGGTGGATGGCTGCCGAGCTCACACATGCCTTTCCTCTCGGAGGGGAGGTCCTCCAGGTCTCAGGGGGGCTGAGTGGGAAACCCTGCTCCAAGTCACACACCACCCGCGTTCGTGACTCATTCTCGGGTCCAGGGATGTCCCCGAATTCTCCGGAAGGGAATTCTGATGCAGACAAAGGCCCTGTCCTTGGTGTCAACAGATGCTGAAGTCTGTACTCTTTCTTACTCTCCAGCCGCCACCACCCCCTCTCCTTACAGCCTGGGCCCCGACCCTGTGGAGAATCTACTGCAGTGCAGAGCTGGGCTCCACAGCACATGAAGAAGCCTGTTCACTCTTTCTCCGGAGTTCCAATCCACAGCCACATAGGCACAGTGGGCCTGCCGTGTGCTCAGCTCTTGGAAAGGCACAGGGGGATGGGCAGGCACCTGCTGGCGCTGGTGACGCTTCTTCCCGGGGAAACTAGACCCTTGAGCTAGTCCTTGGCAAAGAGAGGGCTTGTGCTTAACCTTACTGGTCAGCACATATGATGCTTCCCTAATGCCCTCACTCCCTCCTCCCTGACCGCCCAGTGCCCATTAGCAGATCACAGGCTCTGACAAGTCCTGCAGGAAAGAAACCTGTCTGACTTTGTCTAACAGAGTTTGTTTGCAAAATGAATTTGACCTCAGATTTTTTTTCCCTTCTGAATTCCTATTTAACATCCCACTGAGCTAGCTGGAGGGGAACACCCCAGCTGTGTGGAACCAGGAATGTACTCCATGCTTCTGGCCCGAGGACGGGATATTTTTAGGTATCAGCTACATAAAAAGATTGCCATCTCAACTTTGGGTGATAACACTGACCTTGGCTTGTTAAAAATGTGTAAAGACCGGCTGAATCTGAGAATCAGATTGTAATGATGGTAGCGGGGAGTCCAGGGCGTCAGAGATGGACAGGCCCATGGGGTCCAGGCTGGGGAGAAGCCAAGGCTGTGCAGCTAGTTGCTCCAGACCCAAATCCCGACCCCGCTCTGCCCCAGTCCCCTGCTGGCCAGGCCCTCCCACAGGCCTCCTCTCCCAGAGGGTGTCTTGGCTTCTCCCTGGCTGAGCTCTGGAATGAGCCCGGTGTCTCCTCCACCAAAGAGAGAAGTTCCCTGTTGGGCACAGCTGCCAGGAGAAGCCCACATGGTAGGGGAAAGCCTCACCAGGGCTGGCACAGAAGCGGAACGCAGTCAACGGAGGTGTTTCTTAGACTTGCTGATTTTGCAGGAAGGTCTGGGTGACGCCACCTCTGTGCACACAGGTGTGTGGGCTTGGCCTCTCTGGCTCTCTCCTTGTGCTCTCCTGCTCTCTCTCTCTCTAATCTCTCCAGGTCTCTCTGTCTCTCCCTCCCCATCTCTGTCCAGCATGTGTTCTGAGCTTGCTTTCCTCTGGACCTCGGCATATGCTGTTCCCTCCACTGGAGCATGCTGCCAGGCCCCGCCCCCCGTCTCCTAAAGCGAACCCCTGGGGGAAGCGTCAGGTTTGAGGCCAAATGTCACTTCTGCAGGGGAACTTCTCACAATCTCTGCTCCGTCAGCCCCTGTTACACCGTCCCTCTTCCCCAATAAGCGTCAGCATCAGCACCGTCTCCCACGGTGGAGCGCACGATGTGACTGTAGGCGATGCATGCGTGAGCTATAAAACAATTTCGGGATTAGTATTTATTCTGAACACACAGTATTTTTTTTTTAAGTGACAATCTCATCAGACCTGGGACCTTAAAAATATTATCGCCTATGTGAAGCAAGGAAGTATATTCACTTAAAGCAACTATTAAGCAAGTAAATTAATAATATGGGATATCCACATGCCCGAGAATGAAGTCACACCATAAACAGAAATTAACTCAAAATGGATCGAAGACCTATATGTAAAAGCTAAAACTAGAAAAACGGAAACATACAGGCAAATCTCTGTGACTCTCGGTAAAGCAGTGGTTTCTTATCCAAGACGCCTAAAGCACAGACAACAGAAGAAAAAAAATGTATACACTGGATTTTATCAAAATTAAAAACCTGTGTGTGTCAAAGGCCACAGTCAAGAAAGTGAAAAGACAATTCATAGAATGGGAGAAAATGTTGCAACTTAGATCTAGACTACATAATGAACTCTGCACCTCAGTAATAAAAAACATAACCCAGTTTTTAAAATGGTGGAAGGATCTGCATAGACCTTTCCCCAAGAAAGACACACACATGGCCAACAAGACCGTGACAAGATGCTCAGCATCATTAACTGTCAGCCAAATACAAATCAAAATTACTGCGAGTTACCCCTCCAGGTGCATCTTAGGATGGTTATCAAAAACACAGATAATAACAAGCGTTGGTAAGGATGTGGGGAAACTGAAACCCTTATACGCTGCTGGTGGGAAGGTAAAATGGTGCAGTTGCTTTGGGAGGCAGTCTGGCGGTTCCTT